ACAGCCTAAACGAGTCGTTAGTAATTCGAATCCTACTTCCGTGACGGCTACACTTCATGGGGTAACAACTTTAGCATAATTCCCGCCTATGTTCTACGTTGGCCAGCCGCGAACAACTTGACCCTGCCCACAAAAACGTCATTCTACTGATGACTGCTTCTCTAATCTCAGGGAGTTAAAAAAAAAAAAAATCTTGGGGAGTTCAACGCGGGATTCACTAAACGCTTGCTCTTGAAAGATGGCTCAGTACCCTGTTTATTTGGACCAGCTGGCTCCACTGAATCACTAGTATGATAAATAATAGATTTTCTATCAAGCGTTCAAAATACGGAACTTTGGCAATGGGAGTATCCTTTCTCGACACGCGCTGTACGCCGTAGACCAATCACAACAGACCGGGCCATCTGACCAATCAGAGCAGAGCAGGCTCACGGAAAGGCGGGGTTTAGAGAGACTGACTCTCAGAACTGCTTTGAACGAATCGTTTGAGAATCGCTGGAAAATGAGGTGATATTTGAAAGCGTTTTTTGACCTTGCATGAATATAATCCTATTGTAGGAGACTCCCAAAACAATATTAGGAACCTTAAAAATGGCATAATAGGGGCACTTTAAAAATGTTATTCTTTGCATTTTATTCCGTTAATGGTGACAGCGAATAAAACAGGAACTGTCACAATAATGTTACATTTAGTGAGCAACTTTATAATTTACAAATAAAAATCTTGCGTCAAACGGTTTTCTACCTTTCACCATGACACATTCCTCCTTCGAAGTGTGGCCACACCCATCCACTGTCATATTGCATCAACCAAAACTATTTTATTATTTAGAGAAACAGTGTCCCTTTAATTAAAAACCATTGTTATGCTCTGAAAGTGTAAACCCATTGAGCACAGTACAATCAAACTTAAACGGCCCACTTTACCTGAATTCACCTGTGTGCATCAGCAAGCACAAATCAAGAATGCAAGACTTCTGCAGATTAGGTATCACTGCTCATAAACATTCGTGAGAGGATTCTGTCTGACAGTGAGGTGGGACCGTGTCTGTAGAGCAATGGGAAAGCCCACGCTGAGGCCCCGGGGTAATAGAAGGGCTTTGGACTCGGGGACAGTATCGCATGCTTTAAAGCCTGCTGAAACGGCCCTGTGCCTGAGCTTGATACTGAGGACATGTGGAGCAGCCGCTGCTGCATTGAGCGGATGTACTCTTCTCCATTAGACGCCATCGCTTCCTGAGACAAACCGCTGAGGACGTCCTCCTGAGCACTATTCCACTGCTCTCTGCTGTCCAGAATATCTGGAACATGGATTTTTGTTGACAAAATGACCGTTAATAAAACTGCATACAAAACCTGCCAAAATATGTGGGTCATATTTCACTTTAAGATTAAAAGAGAATAATTTATCTCTTAACCTGAAATTAAGACTGCACTTATGGTTTTCTATTTAAATAAAAAAATGTATGGTGCATGTCACCCCAGTCAATGTATTTCGCTATGCTGAAATGACACATTTGCCTCTGTAGATACATTATTAGTAGCGCAACAGTTTCATGATGAAATCTGAAAATCAGACAACAGAACACACTTATTATCAGTGCTGGGTAGCTGATTACATGTAATCTGGATTATGTAATCAGATTCCAAAGACTTAGACTATATTACATTTTAAAATGCTCCTAATCAGATTACAGGAAGTTACTTATTTATGGATTACATAGTTACAAATTATTCACACAACGGAAGTAAATTACTCATAACTTTATGATTCTCCCTAATTCTTCTTTTTTGTCTTTAAAATGTTCCTTTCTACATAATTCTGCTGTGCCATATTGAAAACAGTGAGTATTCACAATATAAAAAGCCATGTAAATGTCAAATAAATTAGTTAAAATTACTTTTTTGTCAGTCAAACCCCTTTGAACTAAATCCCCCTGTGATTTAAAGTTGGTATTTTAATAATTAAACAAGACATTTACAGGTTATCTGATCAGTTAATGGTCACATTAACATGCAGGTACTCAAATAAAATATTTCACATTTGCGTGTTCAAGTGTACGGAGCCCCGCACATGACATGCAAGAAAAAATCAATAAATTGAGTGCACGATTTACTAATTCGTTCCCTCGATGTACTAAAACGTGCACACGATTACTATTTCGTTCCCTCGATTTGCTAAATCATGCGCACAATTTACTAATTCGGTCTCTCGATTTATAAATCGTATGCACAATTTAGCAAATCGAGGGAACGAAATAGTAATCGTGTGCACGTTTTAGTACATCGAGGGAACGAATTAGTAAATTGTGCACACAATTTATAAATCGAGGGATGAAATAGTAAACCGTGCGCACGATTTAGCCTACTATTTGTTTTCCTGCATGCCATGTGCGGGGCTCCGTACAAGTCTTTTTAGTTTTTATTTTAAAATAGTTTACTCATTTTTATTATACATTGTTATGATTTAATTAATTATTAGCTTTTCATCAACTTCTAAACGCCCTGCAGTTATTTCAATTACCTCGAAGCAATGCAAAGTTTAATGCATTTCATGATGCTTTTACTTCTCTTTTTTATAACAATAATCCTATTTAAATCCATAAACAAGTTAGGTCAAAAGTAATCTAACAGTAATCCAAAAGTAGTCAGAATACATTACCTAAAATTAGTAATCTAGGTAACATTACTGACTACAATTTTCATCATGTAATTTGTATGAATGAATGATGCATTTATATAGCGCTTTCATTGTGTATTGCTGTACACCCAAAGCGCTTTACAATCATAGGGGGGGGGGGTCAGTGTATGGGGTCATATGTAATCAGTAACAGACTACAATTTGTAAGTAATCTACCCAGCACTGCTTATTATTATTATAAACACACTTATTTTCCAGCTGAGACAACTGGAAAAATCGGTATCTGTATGGAAAAAGAAAAGGTCTTAACCCAGAAGACAAAAAGACCAAAGAAGACAAAAGCATAGACACGGTAAAGCAAGGTGGAAAGATGTGATGCCAGAGGAAATCCTGAGTAATGATGTGCAAGTTGCTTCTTTTTTTTTCATCCTGATAACTGGCGAAAAACAATACATGAAAAGAGTAGTGGCAAAAATACCTGGATGACCTACTACTTCTGGCAAGATTCTAAACTGGGCATCCAATGGACACTTTACTATCCCATGAGGCCATGGTACGTCACATGACAATGGCAACACGGCGAATGTAGTACTTCCGAATTGCATTCATACTAACTACACACCTTCATACTATTTAAAAAAGTACTCATTTTACTTATTGTAACAAAGTTCGTAGTCACGGGAGGAAGGAGGCAGGAACCGGCGAACATTCAACGAAACTTTAATGATAAAATAAACACAAAATAGCGCGACAGCC